TCCACTTGTTCCAATAGTAAGTCTATCTAGACTTACTTTTACTTAATAACTTATATTTTATATTAAATTTTAATAATCGAACTGTTGAATTAAAAATACTTAATGTATAGATTAAATATGTAAAAATTTTAAAATTTTAAAAGTTATTTGATATTATTTTATTAATTTAAATAAATATATAAAATAATTTTAAGATCATCCATCAATTTAAATTAATGAAATAGAGATTATCAAATAATTTTAAATTTTTTTAAAATTCTATTAACTTAATTTATGTATTAAAAGTTTTTAATTTAACAGTTAAATCATTGAAATTTAACATATAATGAGTTATTGAGTGAAGTAACTTAAACAAAAGTTACCGTGTATATATATATATATTAATTTGAAGCACATCTCTAATTGAATTGGATATTTTATACGGATGTTTATCGGAACATCACATCAACGGACAAGGGATCATACTTAACATCACATCTACGAATGAGGGACCATACTTGTCACTGTTTATGGTTTTGTTGAAAATAGTTTTATTGGTGATAAAAATAATAGGATAATCTCTTAATATATATTCATATTAAAAAAAATCTTTTTGTTTATTTATACATAAGAATGAGAGAACATTATGTCCTATGAAAATAAAAATGACATTAAATTTATGTTTTTGAAAATTTTTCCTTTTCAAATTTTGTGGATAAATTTGAAAATATTTTCTTACAAGTTTTTTAGATAAAATTTAGAAACTCCTCCTCACAAAATTTTTGTATGAAACTTGAAAACTTTTTTGCATAAATTTTGTGAATGAAACTTGAAAACCTTTCTTTACAAGTTTTATGGATGCAACTGAAAAATCCAACACAGGTTTTTATGAAAAAAACTTGTACACGCACTTTCATGTGACTCTCTCGTTTAGAACAATATAATCTTAAAAGAAAATAAATCATTAAAATAAGTACAAATATTTTAATTCTAAATAGTATCATAAAGATAAATAATATATTTCTATATATGGTCAATATATTATAGATTTGAAACTGAAAATTTGAAATTTGTTATTCGAACAATTCTCCCTAATTAAATTTTCAAACTTTACACTACAATAAAATAGACTTTTAGTGGCATTTAATATGACTTTTAGTGGCAATAAAAATATTGTTACAAAATCTTTTACCGGCATTTCACACATTAGTCATTGCATGCAGTGTCGCTAAAATATTTACTGGCAATTATTTTACATGCTGGTAAAGACCCTTATAATGGTCGGGAAAAATGTACAACTTTTTGTGTCATTTATTACTGGCATTTAAAATTGTCGCTAAAAGTTTAAGAAAAAATTTACAATACTATTTAATTATCTTATTTCTAGTTAGTGTAAGACTTGTAAGATGAGTACAAATACTTTTTTGTTACCTTATTTCTAATTGATGTGGGACTTAGAAGATGAAGGTTATCTTCTAAGTATATATTCTTTAATTTTTTTAATTATCTTATCTCCTAAATACCAACTTAGAATAGTAAGTTATAGACCTAACTCAACCGTATAAACACATACTTGTAAGGTAAGAGTTATCATTAACTTATATACTTTTTAATTATTTTATTTATAGTCGATGTGGGACTTAAGTTTTTTCTAACAAATAATTGTTGCTAATAGTAAATTTTGATGTGATGTAAATACATCTTTAGTAACAATTATATAATAATCATTAATATTTTTATTAAATAATAAAATAAAGGCAATTAATTTATTGCCATTAAATAATTGTCGGTAATACTAAATTTTATTATAGTGTTATCTTCTTTATTGTCATGGATGTTCGTCAAAATCATCTTCAATCACATTTTTACTTTGCAATATTATTTTTTTTTCCAATCTACGAGTATTAATTAGAATCATTGTATATGTTAATTTTCAATAATCAAGTGTCACGTCATCAAGTTGAAAGAACTATGGGTTCTGGCACCACTATTGGGATAGGAAAAAAAATCATTTTCTTTTTATGCATAAGGATGAGGGAGAAAATAAACAAGTTAAAGTTATAAAGAAACAAAAAACACACACAAAATTTATTTAATTAACTTGGTTAAACTCTCATGCTTACATTTACAAAAGACATTCATTATCTCAAAGTATGTTTCTAAAAATCATTCCTTTAAGTTTTGTAAATGAAGTTTAAAAAAATTCTTCTCAAAAGTTTGGCAAATGAAACTTGGAAACTCCTCTGACAACTTTTGTAGATAAAACTTGAAAACTCCCCCTAACAAGTTTTAGGAATGAAATTTGAAAACCTTCAACACAAGTTTTACGACGAAACCTAATAAATTCTCCTTCATACATATCATTCTCTCTCATTTAGGACAATAGCTCATTTTATAAGTTTAGTGATTCTTCGTCTCAAAAACTTTTTTTATTGACCTAATATTTTAATCTTAAAAACAAAATCAAATATAAAAAATAAGTACAAATATTTTGATTTTAAATAATATTTTTAAGGCATAATATTTTTTTATTTAAAATTTTAGAGATTTAAAATAAAAAAATTTGAATTGTCCAGCAATTATAATGTACTTCGAAACAAAGACATTTATCTCACCGACGAAAATGTTGCAAACCAAAAAAAGAGTTACAGACTACACTACAGGCTTACAGCTCAAAAGCTTAGGTGAGTCATTTATTTGAGTAAATTCCAATCCTGAATAGACCTAACACAAGTCACAAACAATGAATGCCAGATGAATATCGTGCCAAATTCTCTCCAAAACCATTCCATGTTTAGATCCCAGAAAAATATCAATTTTTTAACAAATTATACTCTCGGACTATTTAAAATATATTTCCAATATATTCCTCTAAACTTTCACAAAAGATAAAAAAGTAATTTTTTTAGATATATTTATTACAATTTTTAAGTATAACATAATTTACATATTAAAAAATATTTATTATAAATTTAATTATAAAAGAAACAATTACCATGTACATTAACTAGTCTAAATACTAATCTCTTTAATTATAAACAACTATTTTGTGTAAAAACATTTTTAGAAACTTGTCTCAAAAGATAACATTTTGAGAACTTCTCTCCAATTACAAAAAGTTTTTAGGGGTACATTTAACTACTTATATAATTTAGTTTTTATTTATAAATTAAATTCACCCTATATATTAAATGTGAAGGTTAATTAAGCTTCATCCATTATTTTTCACTTGTAAGGTCTATCATAGAATATGGACAATTGTTCCTGTGCTTTTAGAATCAATTATTGTTAGTCATATTACATAAACGAATATTAGTCTTTAGTTGTCGACTTTAAAGCAGTAAAACTAAAAAAATGTTTTAACTCCTTTAAAGTGATGAAACTATACTTTAGAGAATAAAGTGAAAATAACTATTAATTAAAAAAATATATGATTTAATATTATAATTAATTTTAGATTTTATCTTACAAAAAATTAGTTTTATCATAAATCTTAACGATTAATTTACAATCAACAATTATGAGTGTTTTATTCTCTAAAGTAAGTTCTCTCACTTTAGAAGAGTCATATCCCAAAAAATGTGAACAAAAGTGAATAATTATCTTGTACAAGAGTGTTTTTAAAGACTTATATTTGATGAGAAGATTTCTAACGATTCATTTAACTATTTATCTACTTTAGCTTTTATTTATCATATTTATTTATAAATTAAATTTTAATATTTTAAATAAATTATTAATAATATAAAATATTTATCATAAATCTAAAATGTAATTTATATGTTTAAAATATCTATTTATACTAATATTAAATATAATTTATATATTCAAATTTTAGTATTTATTTATTTATATAATTTATTATAAAATTTAGTTATATAAAATAATCATTTAATTTGTAAAATGCACATACTAAAATACTAATTCATAGTATATTAACAACTAATTTCGAATATCAAATATTGATTTTTAATCAACTATTAGAAGGTAAAATAAATTTTAAAAAACCTTTATTATTAACTTTTTATAATTTATTTATATTGTTCATCTTTTAAAATAACATAAGTTAGATAAATGTTTAAAGATAAAAATAATGTTTAACAAATAAAAGTTATGTCATGTGAACATAGAATAATTTTTTATTGTTAATTTTAGAATAGTATATGAAACATATCCAAAATTAGTTGTGAATAGTTAAAAAGAACTAAAATTGTAAAAAAAATGTATTTTTTTAAAAGTCTTATCTAAATTATGAATTCAAATATATCCTATATTTATTTATAAGAAAAAATTATATATTTTAAAATAAGTATAAAAAAAAGTGTAGTGTTTAGATATTTATAATTAAAAAAATGTAATTTTACTCCCTAAAATGAAAGATGAAATGAATTTTTCTATCAAACAAGTTGGATTTAAGCAACAAGTTCACCCCCCTAAACCTAATCCCACCAATTCCATAGAAGTGAGCAAGCATGAATAGTAGCCAGTAGTTGTCTTTTCTATGGATAATAATAAATACATTTTTCGTGCGACTCATTTTTATTTTGTTTCTTTATTCTTCTTTAACTTTCTGAACGGGATGCATATCACATTAGACAATATCTCTCAGACAATCAATATGCTAAAATAAAATACAAAATAAAAAAATAAAAAAATAAATAATAATAATAATAGACAAATTAATAGATATATGACGTGATGAACAGAGGCGTATATCAAGGTGTTTTGAAATATTTGACCGTCTAAATATTATTATTCTATTTTTTTCCTCTCTTTCTAACCTCAAATTTAGATTTTTTTAATAGACTGCATATATTTTTTTTACTAAAATAAACTATTTTTTAGTACAGAAATGCTCTTTACAACATATAATACAACTAAATATATACTCCAGCTAGATAACACTAATAAAGTAAAACCACTTCGTAATAATTGATACATACTCTATGTTATTTCCCTAAATTAATGATTTTCCTTTTGTAGCTTTGCCCTTGATGTATTTATATAAGTAACTCAACTCATACAAAGCAAAGAAGAAAAAGGAGGCGTAGAATAGATAGAGAGGCAGAGAAAATGCTTATGCAACAAATTAATGTATCAAATTCAAGTGGATCTTATCTCATCCTTCAGAAGCCTTGCATTACTAACCCTTGTTTACAGGTTTGGTCAAGGCCATCATGGTTCCCAAAGCAAAGGAAGCAAAAAAGGGTTACTACTCATCATGATGGGTACAGGAGCAACATCAAAGCTGTGGCTGTGAGTACGGAAGTTGAAAGCAAAGCAGTGAAGGTTAAAGCCACCATAACTGTTCAGCCAACGGTTGGTGGGTTTTTCTCAGAACTGAGTTCTGGTTTAGGCCGAGGGTTGGATGATATCAAGGATTTGCTCGGTCAATCACTTCTCGTGGAGCTTCTTAGTGCCGAGCTTGACGAAAGTAAGAACTCAATATTATCACTTTCTTTTTATTCAAGCTAAACAACTGAAAATATAAATATTTCATAAACATGTTCATTCATCTTCAAGGATTATTTTCAACCAACCTATTTCTTCTACCTAAAAATCTCATATTACAAGATCTATAATTTCTTATAAACAAATACCCTTTTTTCTTTCTTTAATATGTTGTGAAGCCTTTTTAAATATAAAATCATAATGAATCAATTAACATCAAAATTGTGATTATTTATTTCTTATAGACATATTATAATACACTATATTTACTCTTATTTATTTATTTATTTATTTATTTATTTTACTACAAGAAATATTACATTTAGTGACATACAAAAAATATCACTATAGATATAATATATGTAGGTATATGTCTATTTGACATATAGTTACACACAATTTTAGTGTTAATTTTGAATGATATTTAACAACCTATTTTGTGTGTCACTATAACCTATACCCACATTTTTTAATAATATACCAACATATATTGTAGTTATTGTGTTGGTAAAAATAACTTTTAGTCACATCTATAGTGTCACTATAGAGTGTGTGTCACTATATGACAATTTTGTTGTAGTGTTTCTTCGTCATATTTCTTCTTTATCAAAAAAAAAGAAAAAAGAAAAAAGGTCAATAAAATTTTGAAATTGACATTGATTTTTTTACACGTTATTTCGAATTTATTAGCTAAAACTTAGTCTATTCGTATTGGTCAAGTGATAAAGAGGACCACATTTTTTTTTATTAAGGAGGACCATTTCAATTTGAGAACTTTTTTTTTTCTATTAATTTTTGCAAAAAATGTAAAATTTAAATGCTGGTATAGGAAATTATTGAAATAATAAAATGTTATTTTTATTCTAATTTCAAAAAACTGAACTAAGGTGAAAATAATATAACATTATTTTGTAATTATCAGTAAACAATAAAGTAAAAAAGATAGATGTTCTCCTTAGGACCTGTTTACTTTAATGTGTTTTCTATTTTTTCAGTTTTTCACAAGTAAATAATTATTAAAAAAAAATATTTTTTTAATGAAATAGTAAAAATAAAGTTAATCACTTATATATTGTCAGTGTAAAATTTTTTTATACCGACAACCAATTATATCTTTTAATTGTATCATGTCACTGTTAAAAGTAAATGTGTTTATAATAACATGACACAATTAAAAGATATAATTAGTTGTTAGTGTAAAAAAATTTTACACTGATAATGTATAGGTGATTAACTCTAAAAATATATAAAAGCTATTTTATTTTAGGTGTAGAAAAGAAGGCGTGAGAGGACTTGCTTCTTTTGAGTCAATCTAGTAGATTTCGCTAGAATGAAATAATTTATATTTAGGGTTGTTGGTGGATAAAATTTGTAACTAATAGAAAATAAATATTGCAAATAAGTAATAATGGATACATAAATATATTTTTTTATATCTACATGTTGATAAGGAAGGTACAAGTATTATAATATTCATATATGTGGATATCCTATTCATTAATATTCAATTTATTTAAATATGAATTTAATTTTATGTAAATTTGTATGAATTTGATTTTATTTAAATTTTGATTAAATTTATAATAATTAAATATTATATTTTATTATTTTTATTTTGATTTATGTTTAATTAAAATATTTTATTTTAATAATAATTATTTAAATTTTAAACTT